AAGTCTCAGAAACAAAAGCCTAGAGATCACACCTTCCTCACATTGCACATATCAATGGGCCTGATTAAACTTTTTGCTAACAACCTTTGAATGTCACTGTGGCTTGAATTATAGGTCTTAGTGTTTTCTTCTCAGTCACATCTTGGAAAGATGGATTCTGAACGATATCGTAGGGATTCATAGATGATTTGGGATGCTGTATCAACCAGTGTCCAAAGAAAGGATGTGATTTTGATGAGGTACACATGCAGAAGCTTCTAAAATCAACTGTGGGTTTAAGGATGTTTTCATTTTAACACTCTGGTTTAGATAATTGCCTGAGCTTTGGTTCTGATTAAAGCTGAGCCTGCAGTCATGCCACCTTGACACCTTACAAGCTCTGTGCTCAGCAAGGCTGAGCTTCTGCAACTGCATAGAAGGAAAGGGGGATAAAGATGCTGGCAGCTGTTTGTATATTGATTCTTCCATTTCTGAGGCCAGATGAGGAGAAAAACTGCTGAATAGAAGAAGCAAGAACTTTGTGCTGAAGCTACATCCTTCAGAGTGTTGTTATTTATAGATTGTGGCCAGAATGGAGGTCTGCGCCTCAGTGAAAGCCAGACCAAGCTTGACCGAGCCTTCTCAGAACAACTGCTTTACTTTCCACACCTGAGCATTCCTCACAGCGTCTGGGCAGATGGGCCTACTTAATCTACAAACTAGGTGCATCTCCCTGGTTGTATCAAAAGCACAGTTCTCTTTCCAAAAGCAGGAAAGCTTTCAAAATTCACATCCTTTATCACTTTAATGAAACACAAAGCTGATACTCGGCTAGGCGCAAAGTCATGCGCTAGTTGTTAATTTACTGGCTGTCAATTCATCCAATGCAGAATTTATTTTCATTTCCTGAAATGAGCATAGACATGGGAAGATGTTAAAGAAGTGATCTACGTTGTCTTTTTTACAACAGCATCCACAAAAACAAGAACTGAAATATTTTCTCTACCAGTGAAGCTGAATATTCCTCACAAGGAGTTGCTGAAGCTTCCCTCTCTTCACAATTAATAAATAATTACAAAACACAGACCAGTGGAGCTTGACATACAGTACAAACTGAAACACTTTTGAATTTCAGTGAACAAAGTTATCAGTTAAGACAACTAATTGTTAAAAAAATAAAATAAAATCAACAGGTAAATAGTACAATATAATTAGAGAATTTCCTAGCATAATGTAGGAAGTCATTTGTGTTCATTTCTGTCAGGGAATAAAATATATAAACACATACAGAAACAGCTTTTACATTGTTGTCATCCAATAATGTGCAGTGCAATGAACAAAGTGCTCTGTTAATTGCCTGTTCTGCAACAGATGGTCCAAGAAATTCTCTCTTGTTGTTTCTTCTGTTAACTGTGCTATTATTTTTAATCTGAAAGTTTTTCACCATTTGCTGAGCTTTTAATTTTATAAAATGCCACTAAAGATATGGTATTAAAAGAAATTCAACTTCTAAGAAGCTTAAATTAATTAACATGATTAACGTAATTTACACTGTGTATATATAAAGCGAATGTGCATTTCTACTTGCTGTGTCTCCTCCTAGTGGGCAGAATAATTATTGCCACTGAGTGGATGATTAAAGAGCAGTACTACGTCTGATGGATTTCCATACCTTTCCTACGTATAAAGGCTGGAAACACTTGTAACTTTTTGACCATTTAAGCAGGAACTGTGTTTAATCAAGAGACATCTGGTCTTTGAGAGTTAGAGACATTTCACAATTTGTATTCCGAATAATATCTAAATTAGAAGTCTCACCAGTTTAAGTGGTCTCAATTCAGATGTTCCAGGTCTATGAAATTGAATTAAATTCATATATTCATACAAAACCTGCTCAACTGGGGCTTTCCAGTACCAGGGTTGAATATCCCCACTTTAGAATAAAAACTGCAAGGGTCTTGAGCTGCCTCTTTTCAAATACAGTTCTGATTAAAACGTTATCTTTCATCCAAAGTGTGCAAGAGAAAGTTCGGTATAGCTCTTTTTTAATTTAACCCATTTTAATTTCATTACAGTCCTCCTTCACCACTGCCTCTAGCACAAAACGGGGAGCTTAATTCTCTTTTACAGATGCAAATACAAGGTAATTACCAAGTTTTTACAATTTTACCAGTGAAAGTGAAAGTTTTAATACAGTACATTGTTTTATCCTTAGGTACCCCTCTACTAATTTAATTTGGTGCTACCGTATGTCCAGTGTACACTATATATTAGAGGTTTTTGACAGTGCTTTCCCACCATTTGCTAACTAAAGCAGTAAGTGTATTCATGCCTTGATTTAGAGTCCTGACCTTACCTCACCTTAATTCATGACTTAATTGAACATGTTATTGACTTAATTGGTCTTAATTCAAACTGACTCCAGGTCTTTATTGAAAAGTGTGGGCTCCTTATAAAAACTGTCAAGGCTCTTGTTGACCACGACCAGGGGTAATGATCACTGGTTTAGAAGTATTGTTTGATAAACCAGAACTACTATGTCAAGAAATTAAATTCATTTTTTTTTTCCCTTAGAAAAGAAAGTCAAATCAGACCAACGTGTTTAATTTTTTAAGCACGTTTCTTGCAGTGCTTTTGAGCCACACACCTCTTTTGATGGATCAACAGCTTGCAAAATCCTCTTTTTAAGAGCACACTGCCAAGCTTCTCCTGAGAAGACATTGTTAAAACAGATATCTCCATGTTTATAATTCCTGAGACATGTCGGCATTCGCATTGTTCTTGAGAACGACGACAGGGTGGGGGAGCCTGGCCCCTGCAGTCTCCTCCTTGTGGGCTCAAACACAAAGCATTGTTGATTGTCCCCCATGGGCTATTTGGAGTTTACTCCACAGTCCCTGAGCTATTCATAATGTATGATATTTCCTGAGGAAAAAGATCCTATTGTTTTTTTTCTCCCAGAGCCCTTCCTCTAGGGACAAGGAGACTGGGCATTGCCATTTCCCCAGTGCGTTTCGGTGGAGCTGAATATTGGCCCTAACCACAGTGACACATTCTAGGGCAGTGCTGGTAAAGCCACTGCTGTACAGACCACTGTTTGCTTGACTCACCGACAGCCTTCGTCTGCCTAGAGAGGAGCCCGGGCTCAACCTGAACACGACCACGAGTGGCTTTTCAAAACGGGCCTTGGATTTCAGCCACGGCCCTCGTGTGTTGCTCCCAGTGCTGACGGCCAGTTTGGGCTCATGATGACGGCGGATGTGACTACAGAGGCTGGACCCCACAGGAAGAGACCCGACAGGGCCATACATAGGCCTGGAATAAATGGAGGCGAGAGCAGAGTAGCACTCAGTCCGTTTGAAGTTTTTTGTCAGTCTGATGTGGTCGCTGCATAAAAACTGCTGTGGTCTCACAATTTATATTAATAACGTAAAACTAAGAGGTGCCTTTCATTGCTATTGGTTAACGGTGTCGTGTTTCAGTTTATCTTCTGATAGATCATGCAAGTCAGAACGCAAGTAAAGACTTATTACCAAGAGTACTCAACCCTTATTATGCCTTGACTGATTTCCTCAAATCACACAGGACATTCAACTCATTCTTCAATTCTGAACATATGTATCCTGCCATATAAGTCCTATAATTGAAATGGAAGGGTTCGATCTCTGTTGCCTGGCTGTTTTTCTGTGAAGATGTTTTTGCTCTTCCCATCACACTGCCAGATCCGCGCCCTGATCTGCCTCATGTTATTAGCTTCTTGCAAAACAGTGCTTCCATATGTCGCTCCATATCAAAAAGATGTTGGTGCCTTAAGAAATTAGTACAAGTTTTTTTATAAATGCTTGAACCCATAAAGTAAACAGAAACCACCTTGTAAGATCTGATGTGGGGGTCATAGTACACCACACAGAACTACCTGTAATTGTGAACTGCTTTCATACTAATACCCTGTCACAGGCGATCATGGCCACACCCAGACATCACCCATAATGAAGTCTAATTGGCACTTACATGCCTTACAAAAGAACAACACACAAAACAAACAGTGCCGTTCTACATGCCATTCAATCCTAAGCAACGGTGCCAACAGTTGTTTTAGGCAAAAGACGTAAAGATAAAACTTTGGACCCATTTTTGTCTGCTTTAAATTTGGGCCAGCTGTCTCCACGTTACCTGTTCATGAAGAAAAACAAAGACAATAAACCAGCACAACGGAAACAGGCAGCCTGGCAGAAGAAGATTAAGATTAAAGAGGAGAATAAACCGAACCGTTCATCTTGTTCATCAAAAGCCGGCTGGTGCGTAAAATAAGAATTTCTCTTGCTCTCTGAACAACTTTAAACATTCATGGAAAACGTTACTGAGATGTGAATGTAATGTGGGATTTGCTGGGATGATGTAGGGCAATAAGGACTCTGTAATCACTTAACTGACCTGATACCTGCATATGCTGTATGAGACAAAATGGGACGGCAGCCCCAAAATGGGACAATCTAATACTCTGGTGCAAAATATGTTGTACTTGCCTATGCCTGGAAAGCTTCTAATGCTGGTCACACACACTGCTAGCCTGCGACTTCCACAGTAGAAACATAGTGATTAGTTCTGTTGGAGACCAATGGTAACCATCATAATGAGCTTACTTGTTCTATAAAACAGGCATAGTTTCAGAAGGAATTCTAGTTCTGAGCGATAACTGGGATAACCAGGTATGTTAATTTAGTGCAATGACTACCTTTTTCATTAAAAAAACAGATGTCCTGGGAAACTCAAAAATACCTCCCTGATTAATAAACTCAAATTTATCAGATGAAAAACATTGTAGATCATGAGCTTAAACCTTCAGATCGTGTTTCCTAGAGTTCTCTTTCAGTTAATACAACAGCATACAATTAAATGGGCAAACCACAGTTTCCTCAGTTTTTAAGCATATTATAAAAATGTATTCAAATTTCAGCATTTAAAAGAGAAACGGGAATTTCTGACACTTCCGGTGCATAATATGTGATTCAAGCAAAGGGTGATGGATAAAAGGCTGTTTATTAGTCACACATGTTTCACAGTCATCTGTGATTTTAGTTAATATATAGTACAGTTCTACAAGCCTGTTGCTTATAAAGCTAATGACTGCAAAGAGTCGGGTGAGCTCCAATCTGATCCCCTGTACAATAAGTGCCTTGTTTCATTACAAAAGTGTACAAAAGTAGATCCTGAACACATCTTGTAAATGTACTGTATGACTCATGTCCAAACCAGAACTTCAAAATTTCCTTCTGATTGTGCTCCCACATTTAGACTGAAATGTTTAACATTGAAATTTCATTTACTTTACATTTACTTTCTCACAGCACACTGGACACTTTGACAGAAATAGAGCTTCCCAACACCACATTTTTCTTTGTTCAGTTACAGTTTTAAATTTCTGTCTGGAGTAATGTGAAAAGGGCTCAAATGCAGCCAATTTCAGTCATTTTGGGTGACAACATTAGGAGAAGGGGTGGTATAAAGTGCATTTTACTGGACAGCTAGATGGCAGCTCAGAATTGTCACGTACTGTAGAGTTTTCACAGGGTTGGCATATCTGGTAAATTCGTTCCTGATAGGGAAAATAAATATCTATGGGGAAAAAAATAACATTGAAAAATGTGGTTGCAGAATTTTCTCCTCTAAGCTGATCTCTCATTCTCAATCTCACCATTTTGCAACATTAACAGCTCCTTAATTACTACATTGTCGACCCTTTAGAGTGTTGCATTCACAGTACTTTCTCCTAGATTACAGTAGGAGAACTCACACAAGATAACAACCGTGGTAAGCAATTGACTACAATTTAGCCATTTAAAATCTGCTGTAGCCTTGTTTTGGCTAGTACAAACACAGCATCTTCTGACAACTTTTGAAATGCTTCTTAAGGGTCTGCCTACAGCAGGCACCGACAACCAATTTGTGCCAGAAGACTTTGCTGTCACGTTAAGTTTCTTGCGATCGATTTCAATCTGAGTTCGAGCAGCAATTTAAGTTTCAGGTCCAGCTTGTCTATTCAATACAGGGCTCCATGTCTACCATGCAAATGAGATTCAGCATGAAGACCTGAAAGATTGAGGAAGTCTTCCTGCACAGACTTAGTCCAAGTCCAGAAATTGCACTTGTTTTTCCATCCAGTTTTGCCACTGGACTGATTGTCAAGACGAAGAGAAGGTAAAGAGTCCAGTTTCATTTGTTTCTGCTGGGCAGGAAAGGATACTGCGGTCGGTTTTTAAGCCCAGGGATAAGCAGAAACCAACTCAGGCAGGTGCAGTCCCCTGAGAGCTCTGAAAAAACGTAACTGTCACAGCAGGATGTGTAACCTGCACCTGTGGGGAGTCAAGCTGGGCCAGACAGCAGAGATAACTTGTGATAGGAGAGATAAGGAGAGAGGTGTTATCCAAGGAAAAAGGTGAACATTATAATATGAGAAGAACGGTGAGCACTAGTGATCAAAAAGTAAGAAAATTAGGAAAATGGGGTGAAAAAGGTGTAAACTCGATTAATAATAATGGTTGAATTGAAATGGTAAGGATGCTTCCTCATTCTTTTTTCAAGGCTTGCATTGGAGTTTCAGTCGGCAAAGTCTCTTATCCTCTGCCTGTAATGTAAACCTTTCAGGTCTCGAAAAATACAGCATTGCTCTGACATTCTTCCACTTCATTGTCTTAATGCTGAAACCCCAATGCATCTTGTAACACCCCAAGACAGATGCTACAGATGGCTACAGATGCTGAAATGCATGTCCGTGACTTATATCTATTACTTTATCTCCTGATGGGGGGGTTGAAATTCTACTGTGCCTCCAGGACAGAGCTGTAGTGTCCGAGAGTGGAGCTGGGAGAATCCAGGCTGGGAATCCCTGCTCCTCTGGCAGCTGGATTTTTAAAATAAATAACCGCATTTCATCACGACCTAGATTCCATAAAAATGTAAATAAATAAGTCCGTTCTTTAATTCTTGAGGCAGTGACAGACAGGATTGTCCCAGAAACATCTTCCTATGTAGACGCTGCCCAGAGAAGAGGTTACCTGTCATAAAAAAAGAGGAGACGTCGCATGAACAAGAACACACACAGAATACACTCCACTCATTTTCCCAAAGATTGGGAAGATCCTTAATGTAATAAAATAATTCATTTTTTTAGCACACTCTTAAAAATATATACACTAAATCTAGAAATTGTGTGTGAATATTTATTCAGTTTTTGTTTTACACGTTTTGCACCACTTTATACCAAGTTTACACCAAGAAAACTGCCTGAAAGAGTCTGACTTCAGATAATATGACACAAGGAGTAGCAATCTTACTGTCAGGCAAGGGCGCTACTTGTGGTTTAGAGGAACACAGAATGATTATATTTACAGAAACACTATGTCTCAGGTGAATACTTCAGCACAAAATTTGATGTTGAGCTAAAACTTACAGGAGTCATTCTTGAAAGTGGTAAGGAGTTTTGTTCCTCTCTGTTGTTTGTTTCTGGTCTAAATACCTCAATATATCAGAGATGTGGAGATGGGCTTCCTTTCTTTAGGTGAACTCACTGGGTCCACTAACAAAAACAGACTACTCAAGCCTCATTCAAAGCATCTTGTTTGCTTGCCAGGGAGAAACACAGGAATTTTGATGGACAAAACATCTATTTCTGACTGGGCTGGGAGGCCTACCTCTCACTCATGGGAAAGACGGGATTAGTGTTTAGGAAGGAAAGCTGCTGTTCCAGACTGGATACTCTGAATGCCAGGTAACAGGAAGACAGGATGAGCAGAATGATTCTATGGAGAAGAGAACCAAAATTTTAAAGCATGAGAATGAAAATGTAGCTTTAACTTTCATGTTGACTATGTTTCTAATCTTTACATAAAACAGGCGTTGATTCACGTCTTTCTGAAATGTGAAAATGTGTTCTACAGTTTGAACACTAGATGGCAGCACTGGAAAGGTCCAGCACAGTTTACAGAGCTTCCAGAAATGGTTCCACTCTTCCACTCTTCTCGTGGATGTAACACGACTATTTTATAAATAAATCCTGAATACTCAAATACTAAAACGTGTTTGTGTGGAATAAATGCGGAGTAAACCATATTATGAACAGAGCACAGTTCGTAGGGATTTTAAAAGTCACAGAGTACTGAAGTAGTTATCAATACTGGAAATTTATAAAGATTTTAAGAAAATGTGTATGCAGTGCTCCTACAGAAATATACATGCCACAGAATAAAGTGAGTGAAGAACTAACTCTTAAATATTCTCAAAGAATTAAAGACACCTTCTTAAGCCTTATTCTTATCTGAGAACAACACATTTTGAAAAGGGCTGGCAGAGGGCAGAGGGCAATGCGTTTTGTGAAACATGTTTCATAGCCCTCCACAGTCTAATAAACAACTAGCTGGTGAGCCTGAATGCAGTAGTGCATTTCCCTTTGGAGTAAATTACTGAAGAGCTTTCAGGGACTGTATGTATTATAAACAGTAAAAAAAAATATTTTAAGCCCACAACATATTGCTCTCCTCCCAATTTCTAGACTTGCTGTTTTCATGAATTGCAAATGATTTCAAATATTCATAAATGAAAAACACAGACTTCACTCACAGTATACTTGTTTGAATATCTACAAAGCAAACCAAACTTCTGAAATAATAATAAAACGTAATAAATATTAAAAACTATTTTTTAAAATCTAGCTAAAGTACAGCAGGGTTTTTTTTTGGGAGGAAAAGAGAAAGAATAGTGAATTCCCATAAACTTAAGCAGAGCAAAGAGCAGCCAATCAGACTGCAGTACCAGGATGGCCTGTTACTGGTGGAATGCAATTAGCTGTAGAAGCACATGGTTTACAGGAAGGTTTGAAGATAATGGCTTTGGAATGAGATACACTACTGTGCAGCTGATAGCAGTACAGCACTGACTCACTCACAGCAAGATGAAGAATTTGAGAAGCTGGTATTCCATCTGTCCAAGTTCAGGAACAGGCTCTGTCAACAGTATCTTCTCACTCTCCAAGCCTCTATCTGGAGCACAGAAAACAGTAACAGCAACAGGAAAGGTCTTTATAAATGAATTGTAATAAATTATATTAAGGCAGAAAGAGAAAACTGTGCTATTTTATCTCCCACTGCATGGACAAACACCACGGACGTGTCCACAGTGAATTATCAGATAATTGTAGCTGTGGCCAGTTCAGCCCTGGTTCTGGAGGCCCACACACCTGCTGGTGTGAATTCCAGTCCAGCTCAATTACTTAACTGAAGCCTTGAAGCAGCTCGCAAGTTACCTGACTGGAGCCTTTGCCAGTCTGGAATTTTATCTTACTAATGATATACAATAGTTAAAAAAGTGTATTTTCTGGACACTCCACTCAAAGCACTGTACAGGTAATGAAGACTCCCCTCCACCACCAGTGTGCAGCCCCACCTGGATGATGCGACGGCAGCCAAAGTGCGCCAGAACGCTCCCCACACACCAGCTCTCAGTGGGGAGGAGAGCAGAGTGATGGAGCCAGTTCAGAGATGGGGATTATTATCATGAGGCCATGACTAGTCAAGGCCAATGGGAAATTTGGCCAGGACACCAGGATAAACCCCTACTCCTTTCGAGAAACACTCTGGGATTTTTAATGACCACAGAGAGTCAGGCCCTCAGTTTTACATCTCATCCGAAGGACGGCATCATTTTATAGTACAGTGTTCCTATCACTATACTTGGGCATTAGGACCCACATGGAGCGCGCCCCGCTGGCACCACTAACACCTCTTCCAGCAGCAACCATAGTTTTTCCCAGGAGTCTCCCACCCAGGTACTGACCAGGCTCACACCTGCTGAGCTTCAGTGGGCTGCCGAAAACAGTCCAAAAGCTTAAACCAATCCTGTTATTAAGTCAATTAAGGGATCCATTGTATAACCGATGCCTTGGCTGGAGCAGAACGAGGACTGTGTGATCAGGTGCCGCTGGAGGGTAGATATCAGGGTGCTGACCTTCCAGGGGCTCGCTGGCTGGGAAGGAGGCGTCCACAGTGCTCAGGCTGCTGGTGGAGTTGCCCAGGAGGTCGGGAAGGGAGGAGGACACAGAGGCTGTGGAGGTTTTCCGCCTCCACTTCAAGACCGGGGGGTACTCGTCAGGAACAGGGAACTCGTCCTGGGGGCACGGGGGGGGGGGGAGAAAATCAGGCTCCACCTTCGCAACCGGAAACAGCCCCCCCCATGACTGCCTGCCGCAAGAAAGTCGCCTCAACGTGGGTGCGACTCTCCGATTGCAATACACTGGAACACACACAATACTTACATTCTGCTATACGGAATATTTCCTGGATCAGAGACTGAGCTCCGTCATGCTCAGGCATGAGCTCCGGAAATCGTTAACAAGCTGGGTTACGAATCACAACCTTGTTTCTTTACATGTCTTTGCATTCTCATGTGCGTCGCCGGTCTCGGTCTTACCAGGGATAAGGAACTGGGCTCCTCAGTGTACTGCTTGAGGCTCAGGCTCTTTTTGCCATTAACCTACAGGAGACAGTGATTGACCTGTTAATCCAAGTAAAATGATCTGTTGGATTGCTTTCGTTCCATAGATCAGAAATTAACAACGGCACTGGTCCACCAGATCAAAAGCCCATACAGAAAGCGACGCGTCAAAATGAACACGTCAGTGGAGTGTTCATTTGCAACAAACTGGAGAGTGCCTTTGGTCAGGTCAACTTACAGCTGTGCTTGATACCAAACAAATCTCATTTTCAAATCATGCTCCAAATCTCCTGCTCAAATCATAGATAATGAATTAAAGAACAGGACCACAAATATGTAAATCTGACTTCAGCATTTAAAAAGATGACGGGCAAGAGGAAACTTTACATAGCTGGGGGCCAACAATTTAAATTGAGCAAAGAACCTTATTTAAAAAACAAAGTAGCAACCTCTGGCTGATATGAACAAATAACATAAAATAGCAATCTAACTAGTAACCTGAAAATGTTTTGAACTACCAGCAATTAAGCTTTGGATATGGCAGTGAATGATATGGGATTCTTACCTGCAGGTGAGTGCAGACCCTTCTCAACACATCATAAACACTGTCCCGAGACAGAAGTGACACGAACACGTACTGCAAGACAGGGACAGCACAAAACCTTCAATCAACCCTACTGCACATCTCCTTCTGCACTTACACAGCTCATTTTCCTGCTTTTTTAAAGTAATTGTAAAACAAAAAGTATCAACTATGCAGCAGTCTTTTTATATACAGAAAATGAAAAAGTTTAGACGTGGTTTTGAAAAACAGACTGGAGTTTATTTAGATATCACTGCACCCAAACAATTGTTACTACATTAGTGAACACCTGCATTCCCTCCTAGATGAAAATGTCACCAAATATAGACCTAAAGAAATGTATTGTTCATTTTTTATCCCTTTTCTCAGGTTCCATAAAAGCTTATTAAGATACAAAAGGCTAAACATGTTTTCCTTCAAGTTCAGTTTTGTTTAGCCAAACTAGGCACTGCAGAATGTTTCATACTACATACGGGTCTTTCTACATTTCTGACCATGGTGATGACACAAACCAAACTAAATATTTAAAATGATTCTGTTTTCCAAAGAACACAGTGTATTAAAAGCGTATTAAAGGCACAAAGAGGAAAAACAAGGTCAAGCATGTCTGCAGAAACCACAATCTTGATGGCAGTTCTACCACCATCAACAAGATTATCCACAAGTTGCTGCATTACACTACTTTCTACATATGTCCTGGAGTACATGGTACCTTATAGTCCAACACTCTTCATTTTACTACTACTGAACTACTTTAAAATTACAGAGCAAGTAAAACAAATGTCCTATCTCATACTCTCTGTGTGTTATTTGATCAAAATGCTTCTGAAAGATGACAGCCCAGACCAGAAGGGAATTACAGTAACAGGGCTCAATTGTACAGGTTCAGATCTCTGACAGATCTCTTAAACAGGCAGGCAGCCACAAGTCCAGCACCACACGAAACAATCTCGTTTTGTGTTAACATTCTATCAGGACAACCCAAAGCCCGGTCAGCTCCAAAATAATCTTTCCCTGTTGATGGATTGCTCTGTTTCAGGCTCACACCTCCCCCGCAACTTTCAAAATGTATATAAAACGATAATCAATCTTGTCAAACATGCAGAAATGCCAGTCACCACATAATCTACTGTAAACTTTCTTTATTTGTTCCTACTCGAAATGCGAAAAGTATAGGGCTGCCCAGTATTTATTTGGGAAACAGAATCCCTTGGAGAGGCTACTTCATTTATGTAAACTGTCAACACCATCAACTCCCTCTTACGTCGTGGGAAGTTCCTTCAAGCCTCTCACACAGCAAGCGTTCACACAGTCTGCTGGGATTTTGAGGTGTTTTGTTATTGAGGCCTCCCTGTATATACAGCCACACCATGTGTGCAGCACGGTCTGCAGAGCCATTCATACAACCCAGAGCTTTGCCAGAGGATGCCGGCGTATGAAGAAAATGAGGCATGAGGCATTTATGAGAGAAGGAAAACAAAACATAGCCCAGCAGGCATGCCTCGTGGGTGATGTTGAGAGCCGATTTATTTGGCTAACTCCAATTTGACTCCCACCCTCATTTTCATGCCCCCTTCCTCATATCAGCTTGACAAAACAGTACAGGATAAACCTGGACCTGCATGTTCGTTCTGCCCCTCAGGGGTACGTAGCATACCTTTTGACTGGTGTCAGTGGTGATGGCGAGCCCATTGGGAACCAACCCCGCTGTTTTGTGCTTCTTCACCAGCCGTACGGACACCACAGGGATAGCCACCTGCCAAGAGGAACAAAGGGGCACCGCGTGTTATCCGAATGTGTCATTCACAGAAAAGCTTTACTCAGAATGGGCAGTGGAGAGGCTGCCTGGCTATCACTCTGCACCCCCTTGACAGAGTGAGCAAAGCATCCCAAGAATGTGCCCAAACCCTGTCTGCACAGCGTTCAGAGCCGGTTCAGAGTCACAGTCAACAACTCGCCTCGGTTTCTAAGGTCAGGACATGAACAATAACAACTAAGGAGGAAAAAGTCAGAGCTTTTCTTTTTCACTTCTACTGAACATTAGTTCTGGTTCTGATTTTGAACAGGCTATAAATAGACAGAACAGTTTATCTTGAGAACTCTGTGCTGATCAAATTGATGAGTCCTTAATTACCATTACCACCGGAGTCAGCACAGTGGAAAACGATGAGAAGCAAAGGGCATGACTCACAGTGGGCACTAGCACAAAACTACACTTTTACCACACTCTGAGGCAAGAGTCACACTTTAATAACCACTGCAAAAAGAGAGAGAGCTTTTGTTGTTGTTGTTGTTGTCTTAAAATATTACTTACACTCAAGAAAGGTACAGTACATTACTGTCAAAAGTTACTTTAACACATTTGTCAGCTTTGAAAATCACCGATATGAGCAGCACTTGTATACCTGTTCACAGCAAGTCAAAGTGTTAGCAGCAGCAGAGTCCTGTTTCTGAATAGGAAACTCAAATTGAAAACTGGCTTAGAGGCAAATTCTATTAACCTGATTTTTAGATACTGCGTGTATTTGGCAACGATTTGGTATGAGGTCCAGACATTCCTTTTTTCTTGCGATTAAACATTCTCTTTACAAGCTGAAGGCTTGTGAGAAAAGATAAGAAACCCCAACAGTCTCAGGTATCATGAGATTAAGGGGCCATGTTGGCTTGTCCAGAGGCAGGTCAGTGTAAGTCTTGTCAAGTTACTCTTTATATTCAACCTGAGAATTACCTTGATGTCTTTCCCAAAGAAGTTGGCATAGAAACACAGCCAGTTCTTGGAGATATAAAGGCGTCCTTGTAGAAGTATGTCTCTGAGGAGCGCGCACGAGTACACTGTAAAGCACACGCAGAGGAGACAGATGAGGGCACCAGAGCTGTCTTGCATTGGCTTTCAAACTGAAACGCAAACTGGAGATCTCAAGGCAACAGTGTGGAATAAAGAGGAGAACCACTTGACGTCAATACTGACTAAAAGACACACTTTTTAAAATGCAATCTAAGACATACAGGAGATAAATCTCAAACTGATGCAAGCAGTTTATCTCTCCTAAATTGTCACTAAGAAGTCCCCCTTGTATCTGGTGGTACTTTCAATTGTGTGATTGTGCATCCCATTCAATTCAAAAGGTGTTACAGTTACAGTATATATATATTCAGTCTCACCATTTATTTTTGAGTTAAACCCACCCAATTTGGAATCGCCGGTTGCGCGTCTGTCTTGTCTTGGCTCACAGCAGCAAACCCCGGAGCCGCACAAGGGGAACCACAGAATATCCCAGCAAGCAACAGGTACAAGGCAGGACACACCCTGGATGGGACGCCAGTCGATCGCGGGGCAAACAAGAAAGCCCTGGCTGACCAATCCCACCCTACCCCCAATAATGCTCCGCCAGTTGTGCACTGTGGTGGTTTCTCTTTATATAGTAGAAATCTGTCTGTTGCCTTTAATTCTGTTTTATAACAACAGGACTCAGACTCGACCCTGCAAAACTCAGGAAAACCCCTTTGCCAGCTGAGACACTTGGGAGCTCCTGCAGACATAGCAACAAAGCAGGTCAGGAAGCAAGGCCATCCGGACTTTAACATTTTAATTCCTAGACTTATGGACAGAGTTTTATGATACAATGCCAGTGGCTGCAGAGGAAGAGGTTATCTCTATTTCCCGAGAGCAGACCCTTCCCTACCTTTCATCAGAATCTCTTCTTGGGGCACACTCTGGAACAGCTTGTGGTACTGGGAGTTGTACTTATTCACCGTCTGTCAGGAAATACGGAGAAGAGACAACATAGGCGAAAACACGTGGTGGTCTGTGAATTTCTCCTATCCTTTCAGTCTAGCCTTTGAATTTCACTTCATTTTCAACAACAGCTGAATCATGTCATCCATTTCTGTGGATTCTCCTAGTACATTTACACTTCACTCAAAACCCTACAGCTGTTTCAATAAGTAGGGCAACTCCACAGGGCAATTTGTAAAAGAGCATTTATATTTCGCGTAGGTCCACGGACCTTACAATGGAAACTCAATGGAACTGACAATCATGTCATCTGTGCTCATAACACCCACTCAATCATGGTTATGTTCAGTACGAGAAGGAACTGTAGAAAGTAAATTACATCATTCAACGTCATCATGATTTACACGGCCTGGATAAAATACGAGCACTTTCATAATGTGTAACTTTGTTATTGTGCAGCTGTGTTCAGGAGGACAGATAAAAGGATAATCTGTGAATTCTCTAAATAAAAACATAGAAATAGTCACTTTACAGATTACGGCTTAGTTAATAAAATACAGAAAATAATACTTGATATAAATGAATAAAACATTTTCAAATATATAACATATATAAATAATACTCACTGATCCTCTATAACATTTCTTCACATCGTCATAGGGCATAGTCTCGATCTCCTGAACCCTAAAAGATCATTTATATACATATATAATGGATTACACTTTAAAACACATTTTGCAGCAGAACACTGAGAGGTCCTTTAAAAAAGCTCCTTTTTTGTATTAGATGCAATATTCTTCACCCAGTGTTTCTCTGTAGAAGATCACTATGAAATAATAACCATCAAGAACAGCATTTGTCCCCTAATTACTATGTTACTTTGGTTCCTTTTCCTGCTTAACATTCAGTAAACACAAAGAAACTAAAAAAATTTCATAAATCAATAAAAGCAATATCAGAGATAGCGGAGGATATTTGTGCTCCACAGTTGTTTCAGCTCACATCAAGCAAAACATTCTTCCCACTGAACACTGAAACCATTCCCCAGTATATTCTCATGATCAGTCTTGACAAGTCTTTTCAGAAGTAATGTTTTGCAGGGAAATCGTGGCATCACAAGCAGCAATTATACCAATGTCTTCATTAACTTTATAATCTCTTTTTCTGCTGCAATGTCCTACTGTAGTTGCTGCACACCACAGTCTTGGAGCTCAGGCTGTGCTGACAATGGCAAGATGCCCGACTGTAGGTTTATAACTGCTCTAAGGTGATGGCAACTCCAGCCACGATCAGAGACAAAGTCCCCTGTGTTACAGGCTGAGCACAGAACAGGTCGGTGAGTAGACAAATACCACAGTCACAGTACTGCAGCGTCCTGCATTTAGTAAACGGCTTGGAAATCAAGCGATAAAAATGAGTTCACAACGTGAACTCAATTAACAAAATAGAAAACATCCTTCAGCTGCTAAGGGGTTCACCAGTGGTTTCTTAGGTCTCCTCCAGAGCTCCCAGCTGTGCAGTATTCACCCCTCACTGGAAACCTCAGACACCTGCTGAGGAGAAGCCATGTCCTCAAGAAAGAGGAGGTTAGCTGTCAGGAGCCCAAGAGTGGAAAGACCGACAGCTGGCCCCTCTCAGGCAGATACTCACCCTGGCTGCCTGTCACACCCTGCCATCACACCAGACACGTCAAACTGGGTGTTTATGGAAATTCATCCAGACAGAAACAAAATGCAAACTAGGAGTGCACTGAGAGCAACATGCATTAAAGGTCACCTCACAGAAGTTTACTTGCTGTGAATAACAAGAGGCAGAATTTCCGATGACATTATTGGCTTGTTCTTACACCTGTCCACCTACCCTCCTCTCGGGGTCGACAAGGACTGGAGCTCAGGGCTGGTGTCCGAGTCTCCAGCACTGCCCACTGAGGAAACTACCGGAGAACTAAAGTCACATGGACTCCTGCTCCCAGAAGCTGACTTTATATGTAATCCGACTAAGAAGAACAGAATGTAAAACAAAATGTAATCCTGGCCAAAGAACCACTAAACTCAGAGTGAACTATTACTTACATAATAAAGCACACTGAGTATCATTCACAATCTGCTTTTAAACTGGTTAATGGTTTTATAACGACATCCAGTTTTCAGCCAAATATACACAGGACCCTTCCTTAAGCAAGAATCCTCCAATTAAAAAATGTTATTTTCTGTTCTTTACGGATTCTTCCATATTCGTGACCTATCATCAATAGCTGAACCACATATATTAAGAAGCTGCGCATGACAGGAAACATTCAGCCCATTAGTATTTTTAAACCTTCAATCAGAAACCAACTGAAAATGAGTATGTAAATTATCTGACTAATTCAGCAACCTACATGACAGTCATTCGGCTAGATATAAAGCAAAGCTGAGATATAGCTCCCTATGATTTGTCTACACTGTAGAGACCATCTTGGAATTTAACATTTCAAATCCTTGATTCTAAATAGCACTCCTTAAATTGAGCTTAAATTGGTTTAGTGTCTTACAGTCCTGGACAGGGAGTGCACATCGAGAATAGACTGGAGTGGTCTAGGAACACCGAGGCCATCTACAAGAAGGAACAGAGCTGACTTTACTTCTTGAGGAGGCTCAGGTCCTTCAATGTATGTAGTAAGATGCTACATATGTTCTGTCAGTCGGTGGTAGCGAGCGCCATTTTCTCCGCGGTGGTATGCTGGTTCTCTGGGATTAGAGCAGGGGATGCTAAAAGGCTGAACAAGCTCATTAGAAGGGCAAGCTCTGGCATTGGGTCTGACCTGGACTCCTTGGAGGTAGTGGCTGAGAGGAGAATGGTGTCCAAACTAGAGGCCATCATGGACAACATCTCCCATCCCCTCTATGACAGCTTGTGGAAATGAAGAGCACGTTCAGCAATAGACTGATCCATGCACGGTGCAACAGGGAGTGCTACAGGAGGTCATTCTTGCCTTCTGCCATAAGACTGTACAACGCACCCACCTTGTGTGTGGGCAGGGGCAACATTGACAGTGACCTGTTTTTGGACTAAATAGTAAACTATCTGCTTACATCTGGCTTTTCCTGTCTACAACTGTTTTTTTGTTTTTTGTGCAATATATGCCAGGGACCTGTGCAATACATTTATATTTATATTGTGCAATACGACTTTTTTGTGTACTGTTCTGTTCTGGTTTGTTCTTTGTGTGTTCTGGACTGTGAGCAACTCTTCTTAGCACACTTCTCACTGACTGTTCTGACTGTATTGTATTGTTGTATTATTGTATCATTTTGTTACACTGTGGCTGTGTTGTCTGTGATAAGCTGCTGTTGCACTGCAATTTCCCTCACGGGATCAATAAAGTATCTATGGCAATGAGCCAGGTAGTAACCTGACTCAGCATCCAGACACGCAAATTCTGCTGATCAGGCTCAGGAGCTAGGAAATGAGTGACAAATGCTCAGTGTTATTCCATGCAGAGAGCTTCTTTCAGGACACTTTGCTTCAGAAAACCACTGGCCAGATCAGTAGCCGTTCACCAAGTGTGCACAGTCTGAAAACATCTTGCTCTAGGACAGGCTTGTGCAAGAACATTACTAAGAACTAAACATGGTGTTCTATTACTGTGCTGAAGGGACGGGACTTTAAGTAGGGGTTTTCACTGCATGAGAGAAACCCTTCATGGTACTTCTACTTACAGTGACATTCCCTGTTCAAAGAAAATAAATGAAGAAAATAAATTCATTATAGGGTGGGTGATGTGAAGATGGGACAGATATTCGCCTTACCGAGCCATGCTTCCAGAATCGTGTTTAAGTGTGAAGTCAAGAAAGGACCCCCTCCTTGCACCAAGGTACGGTTACTTTGGCACTTAATATATCAGATTAAAGAGTATTCAAATTCATCATACATCATTATATGTCTTTCAATAAATATATCATATAAACCCAGCCCAAATCGGTTCTGTTGGTTGGAACTTAACAAAGAACGCAGATGTAGGTGGGTCACATGCATTCTGAAGCACATTACTACTAACAGTACGTTACTAGTCAAGAGGTTTCTTCTTTTTGTTATTTATATATACCATATTTGAGTAGATGGTCCCAGAAGATACAGCTCTGCATAAGGGAGCTACACTGCGAATATTTTGTTGCTACAATGAACTAAACCGATTTTTTCAGGACTTCCTTATAAAGAAATGCTGTTTCCATTACAGGAAGGCTTTTTTTCAGTATTCTAACAAAGTCTGCTATGTGTAGATCTAATCTCGTCAATCAACACAGGACTTCAGTAAACCCAGTCACATGCCCTCAAAGAACCAGGCTGAATACCAGAAAAGCTGTAGTGACCTCTCTGGGCAGGACAGTAATATATCAGAGTGCATGTCTCCTTGGTTATAGAGACATAGCTTTTTTCTCTGAGCTTACAGTGTATCCACTTTGCAACAAATACTCCCACTTCATTCTCTATAATCTGCAATTAGTACAGTTCAGTACACAGATCTAGCACTATTTACAAGATGCCTTCAAACCTACATACTGTTCACCGTTTATATGAACTGACTTTCTTCTTTTAGACCTCAGTCCATGTTCTTTGCATCTAAAAATAGCCACGGTCCTCTCAGACAACCTTTAGTCATGGGATTCGTCTAGTGACCCCTCCCTGGACTCCCTCCTGTCTTTCCATGTGAAGAGACAAGTAATTACAGTGGATGAAACATATTAGATGAAGGGTCTGTTTTTGTACATATTGAAGCCTTTGAACCAAAGCTCTGAATTTCTAGTTTACTAGATGACCAGTCATGAGATCTTTTCAAAGTTTTCTTCTTTTCATTATTTTAATATTTCAAATTAATAGTGGAAAAGACAAAATACTCTCAGAACCACCTTGTCAAATAAGAGATTAATCCCACCATTAGTGTAACCAAGAGCCAAATAATTACCCTGTTCATTTGTTTTTTTTTTTATATTCAGCGGTTTATAGTGTAAGGCCCATGGCACGGGTGAATGCTGATCTGAGATTGTAACAGGTGCCCTGACATGTTTTTCTGAACTTAGCCTGATGCTCTGGGGATAGTAAGAATGCCTTCTAGCCTCAGAGGAGCTGAAATTAATTTATTCGGAAAACAAAAACACCAGTTGACACGCTGAATTTGCGTGCATCAGTCAAGACAGACCTGTTTGCATGGATATTGGGCAAGGCAAAGACACATTTTTAATTAATGATTCTGAGGCTGTGTACATATTTTGAACGGCTTGTGTAAGCATTACACATTACCTTTTCCTATTAATTGCAGCCCTTGTACACATCAGCACATCACAGCAGCCTTTACATTCTTATCACCTTTCGCAGTTCTTGGAGTTTGAAATTTTTCCAACTGACTGGGCAGCCAAAGCACAGAAGGAACTGAATGGCACATTCGAGCCGACTTTCAGTTAAGATCAAGTAGTAGATGAAAGTCCTCGATTGTAAAGATATAAAAATGTACTGATTTCTTTTGGTGTGTATTAATCTGTCTGTAACATGGCAGCAAATGTTTAAAAAATATCCCTCAAGGATGAATGCAATACCAGAGATATGAAGAGGCAACTATCTGATTCAGTCTGCTTTGGGAATTTAAACACTTACTGTTTACTGTATATAGGCGGAGTGGTGGCACTCTGGCTAAGGATCTGTGCCTGTGGCTGGAAGGTTGCCAGTTCATATCCTGTGGCCGGCAGAGGAATCCTACTCCATTGGGCCCCTGAGCAAGGCCCTTAACCCCAACTGCTCCAGGGGTGCCGTACAATGGCAGACCGTGTGCTCTGACCCCAAGCTTCTCTCCCTGTCTGTGTGTCTCATGAAGAGCAAGCTGGGGTCTGCGAAAAGACAAATTCCTAATGCAAGAAATTGTATATGGCCAATAAAGTGATCTTATCTTATACAACTGCTTTGGTGACAATGATTTGAAGTGGATGTGATGCCGGGCTTTTTAAAAGTTTGGCACTGTTTTGCTGTGTTCACAAGATGGTTATAAAGTCTCATGATACAGCTCTAATTGAAAAACACTTGAGTACAACAGGACATTGAATCAGTACTACAGGGTGTAACTGAAGAGGTATTAAGACTGTACATTCAAGTATTTGAAATTCAGTATCATCAATCTTACAGAAACTAATGGGGAAAAAAAGCCAACCTGATCTCAAAGTGTAATTAATTCCCCTACTGACATTTTGCCATTTGGCTTTTGAAACAGACAAGGAAAAGGGCTCCTCACTATCTGCTCTATATTTTAAAAGGTAGAGAGTTACAACACTGCGCTAAGATTGAAGAACATCTCTCCGTCACTCTGGGTTCATGGCCAGTGTGCAGTGCATATTCAGAAAGTAATTAAAACGGAAGGAGAATCTAAATGTGGAAAGGGAACACCTGCAGTGACAGGAAATGCAGGCTTTCAAATAAATTATTGAAAGGTACGAGGAAAGAAGGAGCACAGAGCCATGATCGATGTGCCAGGAGGATTCTGAAAGCAACAGAGTTCTGAACCGTAACAGATCGGGGATACAGGACTGTTCTCCATGGAGTCCCCATTGTCAGGTAGAGCAAGCTCAGCCGCCTCAGTAGAAAGAGGCCTGTGGTTGTGTCCTGTTTCACAGCAAAGTAAAGAGCTCTGGTATGAGGTTTGGTCTTGGCCTTCATTCTTTAAAAGTGTACTTACAGTATGCTGCAAATGTGTGCAGGACAAATAGGGGTTACTTCAGCATTAGGTTATGTGCATTAAAAAAATGGTACACGTGTTACTAATTATTTGTGGTAATGAGGTATTTTACCATTTCTGCTCATCTCCTGTTGCAGTCAGGTTTTATCCAAATAAAAAAGAGCTACATAGATCTGTCGATACTTTCCAGTCCCTGGAAACAGTTTATCTGTCTTCAGTGCATCTCAGATTATCATTTTTATTTTCTAACATTTTCTTTTGTGTAAGAAAATGTATTTTCTTCCAATTTTTGCCTTATTTGTTTCTATAACACTTCCTTAGTAACAAAGACTTTTAATTGGTTTAAAACTAATACAAAAAGAAACTTTTTTTTTACGAATTCCAGAACACAAAGAGTTACGCAAACCAACCAAAACACACAAAATCATACGGCAGAGATGTTGCTAACGATCACAGTCTGTTGCTATGGAATGGCACGTTAGATGCATTTGGGTGTGGCATGCTCTTTCTAAATCAGAAAGTACCGGCCCTTTCTGTGAACACAATACGTCTTGGAGTCTGAAGAAGTGAAAAGAAAAACCTGTGATGTCATTTGTGTGGGTGTGAAGTATCAGCCTGCTTACATGAAAATGTTCAAATATTAAGAAAAACTAACAAAACATGAACACTAAACACAGCAACGTGTGGGAATGTCACACTACTCCTGCTATGACTTTGTTACATTTTGAGTGGTTTCAAAAAAGTCTTAATGGACCTGTTTTCATCATATTAAAACCTGCTCTCCCACAAGAGACCTCTCCCAACAAGCACAATAGGGGGGCCAGGAAACCGGTCTGAACTTGTGCTGAAGAAGAGGAAGAGTCATGTGTGAAAGAATAAGAATGAAATGTGAAATATCGTCCATGAGGCTTGGCATTTCAGAACTTGTTAGCTACTGAAAGAAACCAGCACAAGGGGGCCAGGAGTTTGAAATTTTTCCAACTGACTGGGCAGCCAAAGCACAGAAGGAACTGAATGGCACATTCGAGCCGACTTTCAGTTAAGATCAAGTAGTAGATGAAAGTCCTCGATTGTATTGATATAAAAATGTACTGATTTCTTTTGGTGTGTATTAATCTGTCTGTAACATGGCAGCAAATGTTTAAAAAATATCCCTCAAGGATGAATGCAATACCAGAGATATGAAGAGGCAACTATCTGATTCAGTCTGCTTTGGGAATTTAAACACTTACTGTTTACTGTATATAGGCGGAGTGGTGGCACTCTGGCTAAGGATCTGCACCTGTGGCTGGAAGGTTGCCAGTTCAAATCCCATGGCCGGCAGAGGAATCCTACTCCATTGGGCCCCTGAGCAAGGCCCTTAACCCCAGCTGCTCCAGGGGCGCCGTACAATGGCTGATCCTACACTCTGACCCCAAGCTTCTCTCTCCCTGTCTGTGTGTCTCGTGGAAGAAATACAAGAAATTGTATGTGGCCAATAAAGTGATCTTATCTTACAAGGAATGCCTCCCAGCACAATAAGGAAGAAGTCATCTGAGCTGAGCTCTACCCTTGCAGTCACAAATAACTTGTGAAGTCACCAATTCATGAAATGAAACTCAAAGAGCATAAGGCCAAATAATGAGACAGAAGGCAAAAAATGTAGTATGTGTATGTAGTATGAAAATGTGTCTTCTTAAAATGTAGTAATTAAAAGGGGGAGGGAAATAAATAGAGAAATCTGACCTTACGTGTAAAAGTTAAATACATTAAGCCCACTTCAGAGGTTCATTCATGTTTGCTACAGGGGTCCCTGTTTTCTACTTTTCAGACTTCTTACATACAGTATCATACATAACGTGCTTCATTTACTGCACTGTTTGTGCTTAGACTAAAACAATTTCTAGTATTATACAAGTTGGAAGTGTGCACAGGTCTGGACATAGGGGAGAGACACACTACAGTGTTGCACAGTTTGTCAATGAGCCTCAGACCCCTGTGCAGGTCAGACAGGTTTCCCCAAAACACTCACTCTCTGGCCTCCTGCTGGGACACTACATTACATTACGGGACTTTCCTGAAGGAACATGCATCCAATTGGTAAACAGGAAGGTAACGGCACAAATGAGATAAAAAAGCCAGAATGGTGTGCAATATATGCTAGGGGCTTGCGCAATTTATTTTTATATTTCTAATTTTTTGTGTACTGTTCTGTTTTTTTTATATTATGTATGTGAGCAACTTTTTTTTAGTGCACTTCTCACTGACAGTACTGACGGTATTGTATGTTTGTACTGTTGTATTATTTCGCGACACTTTGCTCTGTTGACTGTGCTAAGCTGCTGTCGCAGAGCAATTTCCCTCACGGGATCAATAAAGTATCAGTCTTCGATAATGAGCGACTTGCCTGCACTGAGGGAGGGTCTGGCTCTCTCCCTCCTTGGTGGGCTCCCCCTCATTCTGGAAGGCCAGGAAGCTGATGTCCTCACTAAGCTCCTGCTGCTCGCTCATTGCCTTTGGCCTGCGCACAAAAAAAAAGCACAAGAGAAAGAGTGTGAAACGTTTTATACACCTATTTATACACCATCTCGGGCGCAGCTCGACCCTGGGAAGCAGGACATGGTTCACGCGCCAGTATTGAACTAGAGCTGTGATAAGGCTCTAACATTGAGCTGAACTCAGCTGAGCAGCACTACAAACCCGTGTGCTTTCCCACATCCTATTGTGGTCTTTCGGACTGGGGTCGTGTGCACAAAGCACAGCCCAGTGCTGCCGGAGCGGAAGGCAAAGGAAACTCGTTGCTTCCTGATTTGCCTATTCTGGGGGCTATATTTGCTGTCTTGGTTTCCCGGGGGGTGGGGGGGGGCAAGAGCTTATTTTGTTATTTGAAGTTTATTTGTTTTAGGGGTTCCTTCTTAGAAGGTCCTGGCAGGTTCGTTTTTTTTCCCCTCAGTTAAGTTTCTTTTCTCTTGATTCCCACACACTGGATGGGCCTCCAGAGAAAGGAGAGATGCACTCACCCACCACTAAGGGTCTTGGATCTTCCCCCACTGACAAATAACAGCATATCGTTGCTGTCTGGCCAAACACCCGTCCCTCGCCACGCGGAGGGTGTATCCTAGTCGTGGGACAAGAGCTCGTCTGAAACGCAGCCCTGTGAGAGGACCTGATCCGGTTTGGGCAGAGGGTTTCCAAAACACTTCCCACCAGATAGGAAGCGAAAGACCGCCTCTGGTATCATTTCTTTGGAAACTGAAATTTCAAAGGGGTGCACTGCTCTAAATAAACACCGCCTTCCTTCCTCCTTTAAAAAAAAAACTGCAAACGGACTTTCTGGGAAACCAGCCTTAATATCTAAAACACAGCATCATTAAAATTCACTTAATTTGTCTAAACAGCAGGAAAGGCCTTTATCTGGGGCTGTTTGAATGTCATTAATATTCAAACAGCTGGAGATTAAATGGAGCATGCACAGGGTAATGGGAAACTGGGCACCTTTATCCACAAAGATTCTCTCTGGGAAATCTAGCCAAAAGGTACTTTCTTTCTTTCACAAGCTGTGTGAAGAATGATCCTTGAAGCAGGTGGAGTTTGACAGATAACTGTATCAAACAGAGACTTTAAGGTGAAGGTTGCACTTCATAACTGCAGGCTATTCTCCTGACTCTGCCTGAATTAATTAACTGCAGGGCGGAACAGAAATTGTCAATTTCCTTGAAATCTTTTGTCACCTTAAATATTTTTTCCCATTAACTCTATTTCCCAGGACGTCTTCCTCTGGTTCTCCTGTAACTGAGTTGCTCTTGACAGTGTGTAATGACAACAAGTGGATCTACCTTCATACCAAAGTGCTTAAGGGAAATAGTTAAATCATCTGTAGAAAAAAAAATGACAGTTGATAAGAGGTCAGTTAGCTCAGTTGGTTAGAGCATGGTGCTTCAACCCAGCTACTCCAGGGGTGCTGTATAAATGGCTGACCCTGTGCTCTGACCCCAAGCTTCTCTCCCTGTCTGTGTGCCTCATGGAGAACAAGCTGGGGTATGCAAAACAGACAAATTCCTAATGCAAGAAATTGTATACAGCCAATAAAGTGATCTGATCTGAAATTCATATTATCCAGAAGGATCATCAATAAATGTTTACATCCCTGTATCCTGGCCTTCAACGTAAGTGAAATGTGATTATCTTGACATTATACAGTACACAGTGATATAGAATCTGAAAGTGTTCTTAGAGCCAAAATGGCTGAAAGAAGGTCTTAGGTGCAGTAATTCCAAAGATTTAGGTGTACAGATGTTTCGCCAGACCACGACAGAGGCAGCTGGAGTGAACTGGGTGATGAACAACGACAGTACGAATGTCATTCCCTCCTGAGCATGATCATTTCAGAGCTGTCAGAGAGCCATCAACAAAATCAAAGCCCATGATAGCAGAGAGAAATATAGAGAGCAGCATTTGAAATATTTTTTCTTTTTGAAAGGCTGCTTAGGAAACAAATATCGTGTAGGATTAGAAAACGTTTAAATGTATTTACAATACCATTTTTCATATTATCATTAAAAAAGTAAACCAATAATGTAAAAGCTGAAGGAATTAACTATTTTTTGTCTAGGGCCACATGCTTCCAATTGTCATTTAAATATCTAGTGCTGTTGTATGGTCACACAGAGCCTCAGGTATATATCTTATGTGGGATGAAGATAAATATAAAAAAAAGGGAGTGATTCTCATTTATATCTGCCTCTACTCGTAGATGAAATGCATTCTCTTCACTCTGAGCTGAAAGACACCCGGATCTGAAGCACTGTAGCATTTGAGGTATTTGCACTGATGCAATTAAATCAGCAGCTGCCAGGATACACCAAAACATGCTAAAGTAAATGAGAATGACCACTTGTTTGAATATTTCCAGGACAAGCAAATAGGTTCGGGAACAGCTATTACTGACTTTGAAAATCTCAGAAGATTTTATTCAAAAGAGCTCAGAGGTAATACAAAGAGCCATTGTACCTGGGCAGACAGTGGGAGGAATAAAATAATACAAGGAAATATTATTTTCACAAATTAAGTATGCTGCATAAAGACAATGAATGTGTTCTACAAATGCTATGGAAGTCATTTAGGTCAAATATAAGTTTTATATCTGAAAGAAGTGGCACATTTGTATATCTGTGTATCTGGGTATATCTGTGCCAGTACCTTTAGAGGTGTTATGTTCTTAGCAAAACAAGCTGTGCTATGCAAATCCAAGCTTTAGAGCTACCTCAACAGAAATAAAAGAGGAATACTTTCACTCACATTATGCAGGCGACACCTTTCAGGATAACCTCAAATGAAGCAGTGCGGTGTACAGTACAAATGATTCTTCCTACACACAAAAAATGATATGAGATGAATTTGTACTGTAATCATGCTATCTACAGTAGTATTGTATTAAAACTAATAAGAAAAAAGTGTCTCACTCTATACTGGGGTTACAAATAAAAAAAACATGCTTGCTACAGACCATCAAATTCAAATATCAATTGTAATGCAGACTTACATAACAAAATCACGAACGTATGTGTAAAGAAAGTGGTCATCTTGGGAGAATTTAAAATCAATGTCAACAACCAAAACTGAAATGACAGACAGAGACAGCAACTGCTTTTGCACTGCCTGTATTAATCACGTCCTCGAGGAAATGCAAAAACAAAGATGAGAAAATCAATAAAGGCCGCGTCTACTAGAGAAGTAAAATGTGATAGGAAGAATGTGGAATCAGTAGGAAATGGACAGCAACATTTTGAAGATACTCTTCTTCAAGCACAAAACAGATTTGTTCCAAAAGTAAACAAAGCCTTGACGTGTAGTGGCACCAAATATTTTAATAAATCAAGAATAACAAAATGAGAAAGCACTTAACTTGAGCCAGGTTTAATAACCATCGATCAGATACAAAACTGTCTTAAAACAATGTGCTAAGAGGGTAGACTATAAGGATACCCGATTCAAGTATTTAAGTGCTGTAAACATACAGCATGGAACTCAAGTGGAAAACTACTAAAACAACAGTGCATTTGAAACTTAGAGTAGGAGTCACTTTTTACATACTGTAAAGGGATGTGGGAACCTGTACAATTTATCTAGCCATGACTCAAAAGCAGCTGGATGTGATTCTTAGATAAATTAGCTACTCATAACCAAAATGAGCTAGATAGGCCAAGTGGCCTTCTTTCATTCGTTTTTTTCCACCTCTTTCAGGTAGACAAAGTTACTAAACAAGTTCTCACTAGAGACAGTTAAATCTCAGAAATACGAGAGCAGTCGCATGTAGGATATTGCTTGGCTACACCTGGTAAAGTAGCTTCCAATACTATGCCACACTCCAGTCATGCTTTTCTCATCAAGGCCTGACCCCAGGCTCATCCATCTGGGGTCATTCCAGGTTCACCGGTTCAACAGCTCAATAACACCCAATTCAAACTTTCTTCAGAGGAGAAATAAATTCTCCTAACAAATTCTGTTTGTCCCAAACGCACATTTCACAATTCTGTGTCTGAATCCAACATGAAAATGTGAGAATCTTCAAAATGACAGAGTTTGACAGAGGAAACAAAACAGCAAGACTGAACATCTCAGCACAGACTAACACACAGAGCCCTTGCTGTGGACATCTTGTGAAGGTTAATGAACAGCCTTCAGAATCTCAGCTGCCACACTTTATCCTCCTAGTTATTAAACAACATTAAATAGACTGTCACAAGACTACTGCAAATCCAATTACTTTAATCTAGTTACTCGGTTCTGGAGAGCACTCTGTTAAAGGCACAGCCTCCTTTTTTCTCTTACCTTCTTTTGACTTCCACCTCACACTCACGTATTCACCTATGTGGCTCGGTGCAGGTCAGATAATGTCATGCATTACTCAAAAAATGAATAGTTCAGATCTGTCCTAGTGGTTGACTTTTTGTAGCAGCTCCAATCCTTCCACAGTCCTGTCCCCTTCAAACTTGTTTTGCATCTTTTTGAGGGGAAATATATTTCCTCTTGATGTGGGCAGTGTGTATACATCTTTGGGTGACGAGCTACTGTATGTCTTTGACACCTACAGTAATTAGCAGACGCTGTTTGTCTGCTAACATTAAGTTTTTTTTGTTTATTCTTTGCCAAAGACTGCAATGTCAAGTGCAAGTATTTTCTCTGCATCACCTGAAACTAATATAAGCAAGCTGTTTGCACAGTTTCTGCACTTTTATAGAAAAAGAAAACAGCTTCAAAGTTTGCAATTGACTTACTTTGCTTCAGAATTAATGTTTTTTAATGTTGCAAAAACTGGTGAGAGTTCAAATAAAATTGGACTTTATCTACAGTAGAAAATTGTTTGGTACATGTTCCTCATATCTATCAGCTAGTGGGAAAACAACTACAGAACCAAGTAGGCAAAACTTTTCACCGTCACTAGGTCTGTCAGTTGCTAACCCCAAGCTGACATGCTAAATACGGTAAGTTTGCTGAGGTATTTTAAAGTAAATTAACCAACACAACTTTGGCAGCCCAAAGTAAATGGTGGTTAACTGATAATTATTTCTTCCCCAAAACACTCAAATTCTAATAAGCAAAAAAAACAGGGATTTGTTCAATAATACTTTATTATCATCTGTCGCCAGAAAAATACTGTAGATTTCCCTATTTTCTAAACATTTTATTTTGGATGAGTTATTTGGAAAAACAAAGTTCTTCTTTTGTCTCAGTAAGAAGTCAAGCACTTGATCTATGTTGTGTTTTCCTTTTTCTGATGCAAATATAAGAAAATACAGCACACATGGAAATGAACCCTGTCAGATGTTTGTGTCCATTTGAACAGCAGTCATCCATTGACAAGCCAGCTCTTTCAAGATAGATACTAAATGTTTTTTTTTCATAAAGCTTTGAAACCCGGGCATGAAATCACTGTAAATGTAGAAACTAGCAGCTAAAAGGAAAACAAATATAGACAGGGCTTACATCTGTTGTCACTATCACGCCTTTGAAACATCTCTTTCACTCTTCTCTCATGGATGAAATCATCGAGAACAGCAAGTGGACTCATCTGCTGCCTATACTTGAATGCGCTGTACAATGCTTTTGCACACTGAATTCCAATGAAGTGTTTTCGAGGCAAAAACTCAATCTAAATACAATGTTTCCACCACTTCAACAAGAAGCACTTCAAACTCGGAATAAAATACAATTGCAGCTGTTTGCTCAGCTCTGTATATTCAATAACACAATGTGTACCTGCAGAGCGAAATTAAGTGAAGTGGTTTTAGAGAGAGAAAATGAATTAGAATTGATTTCTGCTTTGACCAGTTAAAGGGAATATCACTGTCAAATAAGCTTAATATATGGATGTGATCAAACATTTGGCCAGTATTTGTGCAAACATTTTTGATCAAACATTATGTCTCTTCAAAAGTCTAACCTTTAAGTCTTGCTGCCACAAATTAAATTTATAAAGGAGTATCAAGCCCTGAATTGTGGGATCCATTGTTTTACATATTATCCCTTTATTTTAGTGTGAGGTTATTTCATTTTTTCAGTATTTAACAATTGCAAACCATCAAATCTAAACCCGCATTCCACGTCCTTTGAAGAAAGCTTACAATACAGTAACGTCTCAAAATGTCACCGAATTCTGCTGAAAATTTGATCGGTTTGATTCAAATCAATGCCAATACACACCTACAAATATTGCCATTTATATGGTTAAAAGAGAGATAGGCATGCACTCAGACATATGAAGCCTGTGATATGTGCAAAATGAGAGACATCCTTTTAAAAGTGACAGCCAATCAGGAAACAACAAAGGGAATGTCTGGGTTCTTACTTGTCAAATCACGTAGTACATATTTCCTTCTGTGCTGAAACTAATACTATACCTTAGACGAACAATGTCTCGATATCTCTCAGGTCTTAATGGCCCTAGCACCTGTTACAACAATGACTGAATAAGACAAAAAGGGAATTATATAATAATGACTTGATATAGCCTAACCCATAACTATCATTTGATTCGCGCAGCTGAATTAATACACTATCGCTCAAATGCTCCTTCCTGGTTTCCTTACCACAATAAGGGGGCAGATACTTTCTATTGTAAATGCATGCTTTATGTTTGGCTAAGAGAACATTAATGTTATATTGATACAGCTTATACCATTTACGTAACAAACCCCATTACAACAGCTGTAAAGCGGGCAACAAATATGCTGTCATAATGGCTACATCTGTATGCAAGCACAATACCTTGGCCCAGAGTAATGGAAAGAGGACAAAACACTGCCTGGAGAGTGTAGGAGCCAGCTGGATTCTGGGAGAGCACACTTTGCATTCCATGTACAAGTTATTGTTTTTTTCATAACCCTCACAGGTGCATAATGTAAACCAGCTTCTAAGCCATCCAGGGGCTGATAAATATCACAAAGCAAGGACAAGGGGCTCTCTGCTCTAAACATGAGTCAGACAATCTCTCAGACAATGTTTACTTCTAGAGATGTTTGCAATGAAAAATATGGATGAAGAAGTATCGGGAAGATGACAAAACACTGTCATACCTTAGGTTGAATCCTGACATGAATACAGAGATGCCAGTCTAAACTGCTTTTATAAGGACACTGCCAGGTTAAAGATCCCTTCAAATATGAACTGCGGTTTAACATCCCCAGCTTTATGTTTAACATTCAAAATACTGGCATGCCCTGGGGATTTACCTTCAAGAGTCCTCATGTGCCATTCTGTTTTAGTAGTTCATCAAAATCCCCAAAACTGAAATGAACGGTTAATAACACAAGTGAAACAGTAGTTTTATGATCGATCATATTACCATGCATCCTAGCCTGTTAACTCTGTACATCCCACCTTCTCTTCCTTTCCTGCACAGCTCAGATCCTCAGTAACGCGAGAGCCTCTTTGCCTCTGCTCCTTTGTAAAGTGTTGATCAGACAAACCAAAGACTGCAAATTAGGTCCAGAAGAAGACATTCTGAGGCCGTCCTTCACAGCGCGTTATGAATGATTCAGCTGTTTCCAACCCTGACAACCTTTAATCTCCAGGAATTCCAACTCTCTTTTGATTTTGCTCAGCCTGAGCTCTCATTTGTGAAGCTGAACTCAAGTACTGTATATTAACTGGTTTAAGATGCCTGTAAAGTCTGCAGGGTAGGGCGGTGGTGTAATAGGACTGCCGCTTCACAGGTCTTGGGTTCTGGTTCAGATTTGGCCTGGGGCACCTTCTGTACGGACTTTGAAATCGTGCTTTTTTCAAGTGTGCGTATACGGTTTCTGCGCATACCGCTTCCTCCCACCTTCTAAAGACATGCTGCTAGGTTTTTGCTACACCGCCTTTAAA